AATTAAAAAAGATAAGAAAAAAGTCATTTTTCTGTATATGAAAAAATAATGCACAAAGCTGTTGTTTAGTAATAAACAATGACAAAATTTAAAAAACAGTGAAAGTAAATTAATGACAAGATCGCACTATCATATCTTTCTTTACTTTTTCATTCTTTTACAACCTGCTTTAACACATTTTAATCTGTTTTTAATTACTGTTATTATTTGTTTTTACTTTCTTATGTTTTTCTCTTTTAAGCCGGTTTATGTAAAGCACTTAGAATTACCATCGTGTATGAAATGTGCTTTATAACGAAACTTGCCTTGCTTTAAAAATTAATACACTTAAAATGACTATTTGTAATTATTGAAGATGGATTTTTTTAAAATCGAAATGGTACACTTGAATAAAGTCAAGAAAAAAATCAAAAGTAATTTGTCAGACTGTATTTTTAAAAAAAAGCACAAAGCTATATTTCAGTAAAAAAAATCATAATAAAAATTCATATTAAAATAAAATAATATTTAAAATATTATATAGCCTAAATGGGCTAATAATTTTGTCCTTAAAATTGTGTTTAAAAAATTAAAAGCTGCTTTTATTCTAGCCAAAATAAAACAAAAAGACTTTCTACATATTATCAGACATACTGTGAAAATTTTCCTTGCTCTGTTAAACATCATTTGAAAATGTCAAAAAGACAAAAAAGTCAAATGGGGGCTAATAATAACTATATATATATATATATATATATATATATTGACAAAAGAATTAATAAAAAAGAAACTTAAATAACAAAATTAGTCCAATTTCTAAATAAAATTACATTTAACAATTAATATGCATAAAATCAAAAGATTAAATGATTGTAAATGAAGATAAATAGCAAAATAAAAATAAAAATGTAAATTGAAATGGTAAATTTGAATAAAATCATGAACCAAATAAAGAAAATACATTATTTTGTTTATATATTTTTAAAATATACATTCATTTGTCTATCTATCTATCTATCTATCTATCTATCTATCTATCTATCTATCTATCTATCTATCTATCTATCTATCTATCTATCTATCTATCTATCTATCTATCTATCTATCTATCTATCTATCTATCTATCCATCCATCCATCCATCCATCCATCCATCCATCCATCCATCCATCTATCTATATATATATATATATATAAACACAAAACAAATGATTACTAATAAAATTATAAATACTATATAGTATTATATAGTATTTATAGTAGAAAGTATATTGAAAAATGCCCAAAGCAATTGATTAGTAAAAAAATATAATAAACGTAATGATTATATTTAGACTTAGTAACAACAGAAAGAAATATAAAAATAATAATAAAATAATAAAATCACAATCAATGAAAAAACTGTACAAGTATACAAATAGTAACAACATAAATGCTGTTGATTGCAGTCTATAATGAAGCATTTGTGTGCATGTGTGTGTGTATGTGTGTGTGTGTGTGTGTGTGTGTGTGTGTGTGTGTGTGTTTGAAGAGGTTGAGTGGCAGGCTTGAGTACATTCCCCAGTTGATTTAGTGTAGTTAAGATCAGATGGAATGTGTCAAAGCCAAAAGCTGGAGTTTAATCTGCTCGGCCTCTCCTTCCTCTGACAACACAAGCTGACATCTGACTGGCAGAGAGAAAGAAACAGAGTAAGATCCGGGGTGAAGCGGAGGCAAACACAGCAAGACTGATAAGGTGATCTCACACACATCAAACAGACCGAGCGCATGCATCAAACAGCCACAACACACTCCTTGTGGTGTTCAGAAGCTTCTCTTTATTGGCCTGAAGATTAAAGTCACAGAATGTGTGCAAAAATCAGTGTGTGTGTGTGTGTTTGTGTTCGGTAGAAACAAAGCATGCACAATCTCTTCTTCCAAAATCACTCAGATTAAATCATTCATTAATAAAACAAACAGCAATCGTCTCATAACCTGCTGAAAAATGACTGGATCTCACACAAAAGTCACATTCCGGCTCGATATCTGAATTATATATCGTTTATACCTACATACATTTCATCCTATATTTGAGATTTTTTCATTCAGGAGATTTTTTATGAGCTTTTTAAAAATTGTTTCATGGTAAATGTGTTCATTTCTCTGCCTTCTTCTCAATACTGTATTGAAATATTGTCAAATTTCCATTTATTTATTTATTGTAATTCATATTATCATTATTCTTTTAAAATTATGTTTGTTTTGTCATATCTGATCAGTTTTTAAACATGTCCATCAGTACTTCATAGTAAACACTCACACAGAGTTCATATTTCACCCCAAAATTGAGCCCATTCTGGGGCTGTTTTACTTTGAGCTTTCATTATCTTAAAATTAAACTATATATAGCGCTCAGAATATTTAGCCCCCTGTATATTGTTTTCCCCAATTTCTGTTTAATTAAGAAATTTTTTTAAACACATTTCTAAACATAAGTTTTAACATCTAGTCTTTAATCTTTGCCATGATGACAGTACATAATATTTGACTAGATATTTTTCAAGACACTTGTATTCAGCTTAAAGTGAAATTTAAAGGCTTAACCAGGTTAATTAGGGTAATTAGGCAAGTCAGGGTTATTAGGCAAGTCATTGTTTAACAATGGTTTGTTCTGTAGACTATCAAAAAACATATATAGCTTAAGGTGGCTAATAATATTGACCATAAAATGGTGTTTAAAAAATTAAAACTGCTTTTTTTCTAGCCGAAATAAAACAAAAAGACTTTATTTAGAAGAAAAAAAAATTATAAAAATTTCAGTAAAAAAGTCCCGACTCTGTTAAACATAATTTGGGAAATATTAAAAATAGTAATAATTCAAAGGGAGGCTAATAATTCTTACATCAAGTACACCCCTTACAAATCTCTCATTTAAATTGTTATATTCTATAGGATGCTTAACGATTCTAATTATGATAATGGCTCAAAAATTAGTAGCCCAGACGTTAGAGGAAATATTAAATAATATTTAAAAGAAATAATACATGTAAAAAAAATCTGTAATTTTACGGTTAATTTCCGGCAGCTGGGGTATTAATTTTAATTTTAATTATTGTTGTTATTTTTTTCAGTTTATCATTTCTAATAATTTTGTTTAAATATATACAATTTTACTTCATAATAAAATGGTAAATTGCGCAGTGAAGTCATACTTCAGTCCAATATAGCATTCTATTTTTCATAAATACATTTACACCTATTTTTAGTGTTATTTTCGTGACACCTGGATACACTTCTCTTCCATGTTATTAATAATGTACCATGAAAAAAAATCTAATTTTCATTTCTTTTTCCACATTTATTGCAACTTCTATTATTACCAATTATTATTTTTATTTTCCATTTTACAGTAACAATAATGCTTTTTTTTTTTTTTTTACTAAAATCAGCTAAAATAAAAGTACAGTAGTACAATAAACACAACCCAAAATCTCAATGGTCTTAAAAATAGGCTTTATGAATACACATGTACATAAAGCCTATATGCCATTTATGTATATACACTACCTTACAAAAATCTTGTCGCCTATCCAAGTTTTAGGAACAACAAACAATAACTTGACTTCTAGTTGATCATTTGCTATCAGAAGTGGCTTATATGAAAGAAAAAGGCATTTAGATTATGATTATTTTACCAAAATAAAATATGATCATGTCTTGATTTTTAATTATTTAATTAGGACAGTAACGTCTGACTTTGCTTAGAAAAAAAGTGTTGTCATTGAACAGAAACATTGTCCAGTATAGAATATAAAGCCATGCTGCAGTGGAAAAAGAATGAATACTGTGTGTGACTTTCATGAGCTTGGAGGACTGCATCCATACATCTCTGCAATGACTCAAATTACTAATTAATAAAGTCATCTGGAATGGCAAAGAAAGCGTTCTTACAGGACTCCCAGAGTTCATCAAGATACTTTGGATTAATCTTCAATGCCTCCTCCTTCATCTTACCCCAGACATGCTTAATAATGTTCATGTCTGGTGACTGGGCTGGCCAATCCTGGAGCATCTTGACCTTCTTTGATTTCATGTATTTGTGATGATTGGGATGCAGTTCAACAGATGATTCAGCTGAAAATTCGACCTTCTGCCACTTTTCCAAACGATCAACTAGAAGTCAAGTTATTATTTGTTGCTCTTACAACTGAGATCGACGACAAGACTTTTGTCAGGTTGTGTATGTGCGTTTGTATCCTCTTTTTCTTCTTTTGGGGTGAAATATGACCTGGACATGTTCTTGACAGCTTTCATGAGCTGAGCTTCACCCAAACATGGCCTAGGGGGACGTGTGTGCGTGTGTGTAATACAATTGCATTTTGAAGAACGAAAAAAAGAAAAGAAAAGCAACATCATACAGATTCAGCTCTTAAAACACATTAAGACTCCCAATGAAAACCGCTTTTATAGCAGTTCTATATTAAAACTCGTGTCTTAAAATGTAACAAACCCCCTCCCATTAATTCCAGCTGTAGGAGCACAACTCAGAATGTTCAGGGTGGATGAAACAGCCAAGAAGATATAGAACGGCAAAATCGCTTTCAATAAACAGATTTCAATAAACAGAGGGTCTCCAATTCTGAGGATTAAACACGGCACGCAAAAAACACACAGCTAAAAGGCAGAAGCTGAAGAACAAAAACATAAACACTCCTTCCTCTGTGTAAACATATTTATATACTTGTGCCATCTGTACTGTTACCTTCCTCTTCGACGCAGAATCTGAATGGCAAGTGAACAAAATGCATCTCTGGTCTGCATGCATCACATTTCGTAGGACGTTTTTCACATGCCACATGAAGATGTTTCTTATCAGTCCATATGGGCACCACATTTCCTCTCCTAATCTGCAGAAATAAAGCTTTGTGGCGGCATAGGTCAAATTCAAAGTGCACATACAGTAAGAAAAATCACACAAAGGGGGAAAAAAAGCAGGTGGAGCACTTGTGCTTCTGGCAAAAAAGTAAAAACTGAATGCTTGGCTGCATAAAAGAAGTCGTTTTTATTATCTACTGCTGAATCCATTCTGAACAACTCAGCAATACTGAAGCTAATGATTTAAGCAGAACTGGTGGAGAACGTCACGTTATTTTATGCAACCAGGCACCCGGATAACCTGACGGCAACGCGTTTCAGACGGCCGGGTTAGACTGTGAGAGAAATGAAGCTGTTATATCTCTGAATGTTCCTCTTGAGGATCTCAGAGCAGGGCCCGAGGACGCGCTCGAAACGCGGACGGTCCAACTTCACACACTTGAGTGGACCTCTGGCCACGACTGTTGCTGCACGGGGTCTGTTCAGCAGCAGCGCTATCTCACCTGTACAAATAAAACAACACACACGAGTTAGACAAATGACTTCATCAAAGCAGACATACAGTTGAAGTCAGAATTATTAGCCCCCCTGAGTTATTAGCCCTGCTGTTTATTTTTCCCTCAATTTCTGATTAATGGAGAGCAGATTTATTGTAACACATTTCTAATCATAATAGTTTTAATAACTCATTTCTAATAACTGATTTATTTTATCTTTGCCATGATGACAGTACATCATATTTGACTAGATATTTTTCAAGACACTTCTATACAGCTTAAAGTGACATTAAAAGGCTTAACTAGGTTAACTAGGCAGGTTAGGGTAATAAGGCAAGTTATTGTATAAGGATGGTTTGTTACGTCGACTGTCGAAAAAAATTTAGCTTAAAGGGGCTAATAATTTTGACCTTAATTTTTTTTTTTATTTAAAACTGCTTTTATTCTAGCCGAAATAAAACAAATAAGACTTTCTCCAGAAGAATAAATATTATCAGACATACTGTGAAAATTTCCTTGCTCTGTTAAACATAATTTGGGAAATATAAAAAAAATAAAAAATAAAAAAAATTAATTCTGATAATCTAATAATTCTGACTTATGTATGTATATATAATATAGGAATATATGCAGGTGCTCCTGTTTCCCCCACATTGGAAACAAATTGGCTGTAGTGTATGAGTGTGAGAGTGTATGGGTATTTCCTAGTACTGGGTTGCGACTGGAAGGGAATCCACTGTGTAAAACATGCCGGAAAAGTTTGCAGTTCTTTCCGCTGTGGCGACCCCTAATATATAAGGGACTAAGCCGAAGAAAAATAAATAAATGAATAAAAACAGTCTGTCCTATTTCTCTTACTATACAGATACTAGTAAAATTAAGCCTTTTGCATATTTAAACAGCTCAACATTCTCATTGGCCAATCAATTGCAGATGGAGAAGTGCTCAGGAAAAAAAAAGATGTCGAGACAAATACTGTTTTTACCATTTTTGTTTTGTGACACCAGTGCTGCACTTCATCTTCAAGCAGCCATCTGTTAAAATTCACTCTCTTTGCTGTGTGCTGATTACACAAACTCAACACTTTTACCTTATACAGCTCTAAGACAAAGAGCAGTAGCTGGCTATATAATGTAAATATTTCTATATTCTCCATGTCGTGTGATAATCTAAAGCTCAGTGTGCTTGCGGTGCAGCAGTGGAAACCGCACTGACAGTAAACAAGCGCACAGATCTACATTCTGCAAGCCCTGCACATGACGAACTGCCACCTGTTAGGAAATCTACTCTTCCTGTCTGGCGCAGGCACTTCTGTTCTGTTATTTACAAGGCTCTGCAGATCCTAGCAACACTCACCGAAGTAGTCTGATGGACCCAGGCGGCCCACTTCAACGTATTCCTCGTTATCAGACCTGCGCTGCAGAACAGACGCCGTACCCTGGAAAGAGAAACAAAAAGATGCAGGTTTATAATGGATATTGATACATATCACAGTGCATACATGCTAGTAATTGATACTAGCTTGTGAAAATAATAAAGCAAAGGCATAAGACATCTGGTCTGGTGTCCCTCAGAGCTCTGTTTTTGTCAAACACAGGCTCATTGTGGATATGTACCCCTGCCTTCATTTCTGGAGAGCGCAAATTATGTAGCCAGAGGTATGTCTGGCTGCATTTCACCTTTAAAACGAATGCTGCGGGCGGTATAACAGTTTCTGTTCCTTTTCACCCTATCGCTAACTGCTTACCTCTGTATGGACGGCTTTTCCAGTGTTACCAATTTGCCAGGTACATGGACGTACTTGAAATGTGGAGCAGAACTGACTACGACGACGGTTCGAGTCTGGCAAATAACGTTTCCAGAAACCAAATAAAACAAAAGCAAAAAAATTAAAAAAAAAACAAACAAAGAAATAAGCAACAGGTTGAAAACGTGGTGAAATCACGTGGCCATGATGGCTTTTCTTTTTCTAGATCGCTTTCGAAGACACTATCGGTTGGGGTTAGAGAAGGGGGTGGGTGGGTCGTGCAGTCAGTCAGTTGACAGCAAGCTGGCCAGGGATGCGTTTCCCAAACAACGACATAACTTGCGGCTGAACTGACATTGTACGATGCATCATTTGGGAAGTGAACGAAGTAGTGACGAGTGTTTCCCAAAACAGTAATTGATTTGTCGCCAATCCATCATTTTATCCAGTTTTAGTTATAGCGTAAAGCGTCCATGATGACGCTCTAATCGGGGTGGAGTAACAACTTTTTTAGAGAAAAAACCTCATACTTTTTGGGCAATTTACATTGTTTATACTTGCACATGTATAAAAAAAACTATATTACTTTTGGTAAAAACATACACTCATTTTCCATATTAATATATATTCCATATTAATATATACGTGTATATATAAACAGCACATATAGGGTCTATGTTTCCTTTACAAATATTATTGAGAATATACCATATTCCATTCTAAAATTATATTCTTATCTCATATATAAATCATATAAATAGGTAATGGTTGTAATTTTGGAATTAATTTTCTTATTATTAAGTATGATATTGTTTATTTATTTTTAATCTTATTTATTTATTTATTTATTTAAAAGTCTACTTTTACAGTTTGACACATATAAACCACTTCAGAAGTGTTCTAACCAACAGGCCCATGTCATATACAGTACAGATTCTTAATAAATAAGCTATTATAAACTAAAACCATTAACGTATGCTATATTTTTGTTTTCACAAGCTTTGGAAAGTAAAATAAAATCCACTTTTAAATAATAGGTCTAGTATAGCTTCAGTTAGTGTTCAAAATGACATAAATGTTTTCAAAGTGCACTACAAAGAGAACGAATTTATCAATATTAAGATTGCTAAAACTGAACAGTAAAAAATACTTTGAAAGCAAATTACATCTAAAACTTTATTATCACTGTTTTTAAATCATTCCAAGTATGAATGTTGGAATGTTGGACATAAATGAATAGGGCATGGGGGGGGGATAACTGGGAATAGAACACAAGCAGGAACTAAGTTTTTAACTACAGCTCAAGAGGTGTAGTTGTAAGTGTACAAGCTTGCGACGCAATTTGCGAATGTTCGTTGGAACGATGGATTTGGGAAACACCAAATCAACAAACGATGTTTGTAACGACAGAACTTGCGACCTTAGTTGGCTTACGAATGCACCCCTGGTTGGCTGAAGTTTATATTGCGCCATCTGGTGGATTTGCGTGAGAATACAAGTGAGACAAATTTGAGATCATCAAAAAGTGCGAGCAGACGTACCTCTAGCTATGTATTTTGCTGTCCCCAGAAATGTAGACCTGGGTACATATCCGCAACGAGCCTGGCTTGGTTTTTGTACCTCTTGCATTTTAAAAAACAAACAGAAACATCTGTATTTTTTTTCTTCATCTGATTCTCAAAACTCAAAATTGCCTTGTGCTCCTCGGCAATAAACTTATAGTATGTGGTCAAAATAATTCAGAAATGCATTATTACATTGAGTCTGTTGTCACACAAGGCTCTGTTTTGGATTTACACAATCAATAATCCTCATCTATTTTTTCTCTGAAATATTTACAAATTTTTTTCATTTGACACTCAAAACTGAAAATATCCCTGTGCACCTAGCAATAAATTGAAATTAGGTCACTAATATAATTCAGAAAGGCATTATAGTATCAGTTCTGGTGTGCCACAAGGGTCTGTTTTAGCAATGCTATTATTTATAAAACAACTTTTCTCTGTCTTTTTTCACCTCTAAAATAATAATGATTATTGCATGACTTAAGTCTGGTGTCCCTCAGGGCTCTGCGTTGGTACCACTTGAGTTTATTTTATACACACTGTTTTAGTTTTGTCACTCTTCTTGCATCTGACTCTCAAAACTTTGTTAACTTGAGTGTTGTGTAGCTCAACATATTCCTCAATGTCAGACTGCCACACTGCAAAAAGAGAATCAATAAGCGAGATGCGGGTTTAATGAGGAGGAAAAGTGCAAACAGAGGAGAGAAAAGCCTAGCTCACGGTGTCGCCGAGTTTGAGACACGTCAGGAGGATTAGCGAAAGTGAGACTCTTTGCTTTATGTGCCTGCAGGTGTACAGGATTTAGACAACTCTGCATGTTGCTTCAGGGACTCGGAAAACACACACACACGTCATAGACTGACACACACACACATGCAATGCACACCTGGGCCTGTCAGTGTTGAGATTTTCCAACAATTATAGCGTTCCACCGCATGCAGCGCTCCCCACAATGCAATGCACACACTCATTTAGAAAGATAAACAGGGAGACACACACACATGTTCTGTCACATTTGTCACATCAAGGACAAACACGCTTCCCACAATACAGCAGTAAAAGGAGCGAGGCTCACAGGCCAGGGCTTCTCTATTCATAGTCAACGTTACACTGAAAGCTAAAAACACTATTAATCAGCCGAAAATAAAGTACAAAGCACAACAATAATGATTAATAATTATCTAATAATTAATGGATACAATTAACAGGTAAAAATCAGTAATATACAGAAATAATGAATTACACAACCATGCTTAAATGTTTTAAATATACCAATTTAATATATACTGTTATATTAATTATCATTACAATGATTATAAATATTATAAACAAATTAATGATATATTTATAAGCATATAAATATTTAGTAATAATGATCCCAATTATGATTATGATGACTATTACTATACTAATAAATGCACAAATAAACTCAATTATTTTTATTACTGAATTATTTTTACCGCTAATATTAATTTATTTATTTTATTTATACAGGGACAATGTACAACATGACAAAGCTATTTTACATCTGTGGTCCCTGGGCAGGAAGTTGTAACAAATTTAACAGCAAAAAAAATAATACATAATACACTTACAATAGAATACATGCAATACATCATTATCATTAAAATGAAATCAAGTCAGTGGTTACATATTTGATTTTGTTAAAGCCGTATTTTAAGAACAGTTTTAAAATGATTAAAAGTGGTACTCTCTCTGACATGCACTGGTATTTTGTTCCATCTTTCTACTGCTCTGACTGAAAAAACTGATTGTCCAAAAGCAGTTCTCTTAAGTTTAACTGAACAATCACCTCTAAGCAATGACCTAGTCTGTCTTATATGGTCCTTACAGACAGTCACACATTGTTTGAGAGGTGCTGGTGCAAGATCATTAAATATTTTATGCATGAAACACACATCAGCATAAAACAAGAAACTGTCGAATGTTAGTAACTTATGTTGTGGAATACAGTTACAATGATGAAAGCTCCTTGGCTTTGTAGCTAAAATTTTTACAGGTTGTTTATAGATAACATGAACAATGAACAAACAATTGTTAATATAAAATGCATATTAACAAATATAATTATGATTATGATATAAATATTATGTAAATGCAATTATTATTATGATGATAAATGTAAATATACAAAATATAAATAAATACCTAGTATTTTTAGCGTTGAACTATGATTATTTCTAAAACTATTATGAGCATTAACAAATAACTATCAATAATGAATGATCAAATTACAAATATGTTATTTTTAACATACACACTTAGCAATAATAAGTGTAGGGTAAGTTACGTTAAAAAGTAATAGATTACAAATTACTAACTACTACTGGAAAATTGTAATCTGATTACATTGCTAATTACTTCATGTTAAAAGTAATCAGATTACTAATTACTTTACTTTGAAGTTACTTATAAAACACATAAAATATACCTAAAAATACAAAACATACTGCAGCTCTTTCAGTAATTTAATATTCAGTTAGTTCTTGTCACTTGACTCATGGTTTTTAACTGAGTGCGCCTTGGAAATGCGAGTGCGCGCAAAATGCGCTCCCAATATATATGTGCGCAAAAGACACGATATGTGAACGGTCCCACAAGCAGCTATGCTCCTCTTCGCATTTAGAAGATACCTTCACTCCTGATACTGCACAAAATATTTGAATTTAGCCTGTGAGTTGGGCTGCTGTGTTTTTGGGCGCCGGTGTCCTCTTTAGTGGCAAGTATTGTCATAGAATGCTTTCTGTGCATTGAAGTTGCTGGATGAGTTAAAAGCAATTGAAAGTTCTTTAGAGTCTGAACATAGACGGCATTTCACAGCAATATTTTTGTTTTTAAGCTCAGTGAAATCAAAGTAATGTCTGTATTTCCACTTGAAGAAGCAACCACTCTCATCAGCAACTACGTCAGCTCATGTTCTGCAACATTAAAAAGTGCATGCTTAAAAACTGACATGGCAGTGGAAAATGTGAGTTTTTTTTCTCCCAAAAACTATATTTGTAACATACACTGTAAAAAATTTACTGTAGAATTTACAGGAAATACCTGGCAAAAAAGTTGCCAATAATGTCTTGTAAAAATGTTGTAAATTGCTGTAAAATAGAT